ACTTGAAAGTACAATATAAAACTAACTATAATAATTTGTTGGTCAACATGGTCCCCACCTCACCTGTAGATTTTCCGGATCGAGGTCTGCTCTCTGCCACAGTGAGTTTGGTTGCCCTGTGAAAATGATGGACTACTCTGGAAATAGTGTTTGACTTCTGAAAATAAGTGCTAAAAGGCACTGTTGTCTCCCCCTTGATATTTTTTGAAAGGACATTAGTTGCCTTGTCATGAAGACAATCATGACAACCAAAGCTTCCCGATAAAAGCCAAGTGAAGGAGCCACCTTGAAACCTCCACGTGCCTTTAGACAATCACCTCAGGAAAGAATTACAGCCAAACCACTGGGGAAGCCTTTCCACCTTCTGCCCTGCCAGATGTGAGAGGTAATAAATGGTACTATTGTTCTAGACCGTTCAGATTGAGGTGGTCCCCAGCTCAGCAACCGATGACTGATACAGCAAGTCAGCCAAGCCAAAGTGCAATGCAAACTTTTTATGTTCTCTTATCCCAAAACTCTGCTAGATGAAATGGAAACGTGACATTTCAATCCAAACACCCATTCACAGGCAACTGGGGCAGGATTTTATTTATAGGACTTTGTAGATAATTTTTTGTTACAAAACATTTTTACAATGGTCTTTTATAAGGTGTAATTTTTACTTCTGAAAACAGTAGGTTGGTGGGTCTTTGCAGACAAGAAGTCTCCCAGTCATGCAATGGGGTGGTAGCTTTACAGTTTGTTTTACAGCAATCTAACAGGTTGGCACCCTTGACAAGGGAACATTACTGGATTTATGGATACCCTCAAAGCACTGATTTTCCTATCATTCATTACACATGAATTTCCTCTTTTTTTCCAGGCTTTTATTGAAAACAAGGACATTGGTTTTTAGGAAAAAGTGGAATGATGTTTATTTTCCATATTGGATCATGTGATTAAAGCTTTTTATGGCTTAAAAACCCAGTAAGAACTCTCCATGAAAGTACAGGGAACCACTGTGAGTGGCTTGGCAGGGATTGCTGAAGTTCTGTTTGGCATTTCCTGCCTCTGTTTTGCAAGGAGTCCTGTTTCCCTGGGAACCTTTGCCTGTGATGGAGAAATCATGTCCACCTACCCAATATCTCATTTGTCTAATAGCAGGATGCTTTTTTGTTTTTGTTTTGCAATATAGGGTTTCTCTGTGTAGCCCTGGCCATCCTGGAACTCACTCTGTAGCCCAAGCTGGTCTCAAACTCACAGGGATCCGCCTGCTTCTGCCTCCCGAGTGCTGGGATTAAAGGCGTGCGCCACCACCGCCGGCTCCAGGGTGTTTTCTAACTGAAGGGTGACATTGAAGGGAGCAGGCAAAAACACCTTGGCCATTTTGACTTCAGACTGCATTTTACCTATATAGTGAAATGAAGTTCAGGTTCTCAAGCCCTGGGGGAGCTGAGAACTTTCCAATGGCTGATCAACCTCCTTCCTAAACCATAGAAATAGTCATTATGCATCTTTAGTTCTTTAGAAACATTATGGTTGTTACTAGCAACAGAAGGAACAAATGGATCTGATTGGTTGGACTGAAAGGCTTGCATTATATATTTGTTGACAATGATGGAACATTCTAGGAAGCTCCCAATCTCTAAATCCTGATTGGTGAAAATTGTAACTAAAACTTGGCAACAAATGTTTGTGATTTTTGTGCTATTTATAAACCCTGCTTCTGTTCCTGCCCTGGGCTATCAGGAGAAACAAGACTCCCAAATCCTTGTCCTACAGCCCTGATTGATCAGCAACTAGCTTATGTGGTGATTTAATAACATCTTTGGAACTCATAAGTGTTGTCTCTCTCCTTCCTTGTGGTGCATAGTGGGCTAGGTGTTAAGAACATGAAGGAGTCCTTCTGCTCCCAGGACAAAAAGTCAGGAGATCAAAACTATTGTTGGTGTGGAGGTGTAAAGAGAGGAACTCCACAGTTCTCAGTGTTTCAGCTCAATCTCTATTTTGATTCTATGTCTTCTTTTGTGGTATTGCTACTCAAACCTAGGGTCCTTCACATGCTATGCTAGGCAAGTGCTCTACCAATAAGCAACATCCTTTTCTGTGGAGCTGGGGAGAGTCCTGCAGTGTAGCTCAGAATGGCTTCAAATTCCAGATGCTCTTGTCTCTGCCTCCCTGAATGCTGAGATTACAGGCATGCACTACTGCTCAATCACCTCTGACCTGTGGCTGTTAGAAAAATGTAAATTATACGTAAGTTCACATTTATATTCTTTGGCTAACACTGAAGTGAGTAGACTATATTATGCTTCCCCCTACCAATTTAGTTCCTTGTCCTTAACCTTTTACTTCTTTTTCCTAGGTATAAATTACAAACAGTAACGACACCACATACTCCTCATAAGCACATTTTGAATTTTTGTGTCTGTGTTCAACATTATGTTTTTGAGATTTGTACTCACTGACCCGCTTTATTGCTATTGCTATGAGAATTCTACTGTGTGGCTAGAGCACATCTACTTCCCAGTGTGCTGACACTGTGTTGCTTCTAGCTGGGCTGTGCACATCTTTGGTCAGCCACTCTCCTTTGTTCTCTCCTACCCCACCCAGGAGAGAACACAATGGCTTTCTTGGCGGACACTTGTTGAAAACATGACTTCAAACTAGCAGTGTGGTCACTTCTCTCCTAGCTTTTATATGGAAAATAAACTCTTGTTAGAACAAAACTTACTCAGAGTTTCCACTATTTTTACAAATAACAAATAGGTCAGGAAGTCAGTCTCTAGTATTTCAATGCACCATTCCAGTCTTGTTAAAAATAGACACATGCTACTAGATACACTTTAGTGACAGACCGTGAAAAGATGTTCAGTATATCATTTTCTTTCCTAAAATTCCATCTTTTATTTCTCTGCACTTTCCACGCCCCCTCTCCCATCTTTCTCTGTGTAGCCCTGGCTGTCCTGAACTTGCTCTGTAGATCAGCTGGCCTTGAACTCGGAGATCGCCTGCCTGTGCCTCCCAAGTGCTGGGATTAAAGGTGTGTGCCACCACTGCCTGGCATACTTTTTTCTTTTTCTTTCTTTTTTTTTTTTTAAGATTTATTTTATGTGTATGACTGTTTTTCCTGCATGTCTGTATATGCACTGTATGTTTGCCTGGTGCCCAGTGAGACTAAATGAGGGTGCTAGATCCCCTAGAATTGTAGTTACATACAATCCTGGGATGCATGTAGATGCCGAGACTCAATCTTGGGTCCTCTGCAAGAACAAGTGCTCTTAACCACTGAGCAATTTCTCCAGTCCCTTCAAGACTTATTTATTTATCTATTTATTTATTAAAGACAGAGTTGCATGGAAGGGGGTGAGGAGTATCAAAGTCACTACACAGTGAAGGAAGATTCTAAATGCCTGATTTTTGTAACTCCTCCCGTATGTTGTGATTATTGGTCCTTGTCACTATACTTGGCTTTATGCAACGCAGAGGGTCGAAACCAGAGATCTGTGCATGCTAGGCAAACAATGTCAATATTCCAGTCCTAAAAACTTTTTATCTCCTAGCAGGATAGAGAAATGGCTCAGAGGTTAAGAGTAGGTCCTGGTCTTTCGGCGGATCCGAGTTTGGTTCCCTGCACCCCCTTTGGTTGTCTTACTACCTGTAACACCAGGTCCTGGGGATCTGATGCCTCTGACTTCAAGGGCACTCAAACTCAGGTGCATACACCTAGAACTATGAAAAACTGCAAACAACCCAGATGTCTATGGCTAGATGAATGGCTCAACAAGTCACAGTACAATGGAAAATGATTAAGTCATAAGAAGAAAGACTTATGAGATACTCACTGCATGGAAAGAAATACCAACGTTTGGCTATAAGAAAGAAGTTAGACTCAAAGAATATAGCAGATTGAGCCTTAGGGACGTACCTCAAATTTTACCAGGGTCCAAGAAAAAGGGGAGGGGAAGGAAAGGAAAAAGAACAGTGTGAAGTTTCATAATTTACAAAAGGGAAAATTATCCTATCATGTTAGAAACAAAATTAGAATGTAAGAGCCTGAGGGAGAAGTATCAAGAGTTCCGGACTAGCCAGAGCTTCACAGCCAAACCTATTCTCAACAACACAGGGCTGGAGAGATGGCTCAGCAGTTAAGAGGACTTGCTGCTCTTGCTGAGGACCCAGGTTTGGTTCCTGGCCCCCAGACCCCCATATCAGGGGACTCACAACTGCCTCTAACTCCAGTTCCAGGAGATCTGAATACCTCTTTTGACCTCTGCAAGCAGGCACATGTGTACTAAATATTGTACACTAAAATAAAAAAATCTTAATAATAACAGCCCCAGCCACCCCAAAACAAAATTCGAGTTTTGTGGCTCAGGCTTGTATCCCAGCCATCCCCTGCTTACAGGGCAAGTTCGAGGCCAGCCTGTACTATACAAGCCCCTGTCCAAAAAATAAAAAAAGAAAAATAATAAAAGAAAAAAGGAACAAAACCAAACCCCAACAAAAGCAAAAACCAAATTGGAATCGCTTAGGGCTGACGTGCTCAGTGGGCTTCAGCGGTCTGGGAACTTCCCGGAGTTGGGGTGGGACGTGACCATGTGTTAACAGAAATGTGAATCTATTGGCAAGACCTTCGTTATCAACGAGAAACAGAAAGTCTTCCAAGCGACTGTGGGGGCGGCTGCGGGCAGGGTCAGCCAAGTCTTTGCCGAGGAAGAAGGCGAACCGTGTATTCCGGTTTTAAAAGACGGCAGGGGCGGGGCAGGGAAGAGAACAAGTACCAGAAAGTTTTCCTTTAGTACTGATGATGGCGGCAGCGGAGCGAATCGCCGGAGATTCCGGGATTCCCACAGGGGACTTCAGGGAGCGCCCACGCGAGTAGACCGAGGCGACCCCGACCGCCCACGGCTCCCACCCTCGGGAGCGCCGGAGGCCGCAGCCCCCGCCGGGCCGGGGCGCGCCGGGAGGCCAGCTCCGCGGGCGCGTCGCTCTGACGTCACGCACGCGCTGACGTCGCCGGCAGCCGCAGCCTCTGAATCGGGGCTGGGACCGGGGGGCGCCGAGTTTGACTAGTTTGGTGGGGGGAGTCCCCGCCGGCCGCCGTGCCCCGGGGAGCGGCGTCACCCGGGTGGCGAGCGCGTCTCGGAGGCCCCACCGCCGCGGCTGGGCGGTGCTGCGAGCAAAGTTGGAGGCTAAGGGGCCACGGGCGGCTGAGGGGCGGCGGGCGCGGCCATGGAGCCCCGCGGCGCCGAGTACTTCAGCTCCCAAGTGCTGCAGAAGGACGTGAGCGGCCGGCTGCAGGCGGGCGAGGAGCTGCTGCTCTCCCTCGGCGCGCCCGGCGCCATCCCAGACCTGGAGGACGACCCGAGTCGCCTGGCCAAGACCGTGGACGCACTCACCGGCTGGGTGGGCTCGAGCAACTACCGGGTGAGCGGCGGGGCGGGCGGGCGCGCGGCCGGGGCGGGCGGGCGCGCTCGCTCCTCGCCGCGGCTCTTTAACCCGGGCGCGCTGCCGCGGGGGTCCGGGGACGCGCTGGCTTCGCCCCCCGGCTTCGGGGTACGGCTACAGGCGGCGGTTCCGTGACACGTTGCGGAGCTGCTTGGCGCTTTACAAAGTGATAACTTGCAGCCAAAGGCTTGAAGACTTTGTACGGTTTGTACACGCCTTGTGTAACGCCTGCGCCGAGACGGGGCGTTAGGATGCGGCGTGAAGTTGGCCAGTCAAGTTCATCTCTTCCGATTGATTTCTATTTTACTTAATCTCCAGTTTCTTTTCCCTCTCCCCCTCCTTTCCCTCTTCCAATCCCTCCTTCTCTTTACTTCTCTCCCCACTCCTTTCCTCTGTCTTTCCTTCTCCATTTCCCGTCCTTCCTCCCTCCCTTCCTATTCTGTCTCCTCTCCCTCCCTTTCTTTTCCTCTTCCCCTCTCCCTGTCGCCTTCTTTTTTCTTTCGTAGTCTTTATATGGAGGTTGTGTCTTCTCTCAAAAGTATCTTTAGCGCTTACTCAGGTCCTTCGCACGAAAGGACTGCTTGTCTCATGGCGTTATTTATTTGCTTTTCTCTTAATTGACAACAGAAAGCGGTTGAACGCTCATTTGTCCTCTTGTTTTTCCGCAGTTAGGGACGAAGTCAGATTTGAAACGATTTGCTCTCAGGTTTAATTGATGCTGCAGGCAAAATGGGAATGGGGAGGAGGGGGTGAGGTACAAGAAGGAATGGGTGTTGAGTCGGGAGCAGGCAGCTTGTAACGTGGCCACGGATGGAGATAAGGAAATATTCTGTAATTAGCCGGTTCCGGGGTTGTTAGCAGTTACTTTTCTTTTTAGTCTTCTGGTGGCAGTATTGCTTTAAAATGCGGGTGGGAACTTCCCTTGGATGGAACATTTTTAGTAATATATCCAGTGAACAGGCTGTACTTTGAAATTTTCATCTATAGAGACAAGAAAACAAACTCTACAATTATGCAGATTTAATCGTGAGGACTATACGAATTATAGGAAGGTTAGACCTTTACCAAGATTTAAAATAAAGTTTTAATAGCATATAATATGAATTATACATAATGGGCTTCATTGTAACATTTTCATGCATGTGTATAATGTACTCTATTCACATTCACCACCCATTACTTCTATTTTCCTACTTTTGCTATTTCCATATAGTTCCCTTCTACTTTCATGCCTTTTTCCCCCCCTTAATTAAATGAATTGGTGAGCTTAATTAGGGTTACTTAAAGTAGCAAGCCAGGGGTCCTTTACAGGAGCATGGGATCTTACTAGTGGATACATCAGTGAAGAACATGTTTCCCCTAAAGGTAATGGAGTTTGAGAATTCACGCCTTAATGTTCCGTTACATCTTTTCTCTTTATTCTTTTTTTTTTTTTAAGTTTGAAGAAGAGCTAGCTGTGGTGACACATGCCTATAATAAAGTTGCACTTGGAAGGCTCAGGGAGGAGGATCTTAAGAGCAAGGTCAGTTTGAGCTAGATAGTGAGTTTGAGGCCAAATTGGACTATATAATGAGACCCTGTCTTTGAAAAAAAAAAGGTTTGGGAAAAGTTAATATTTACTAAAATATAGTTACCAATCGGGAAGTATTAATTTCTTTTGAAGAAATTAGCTAGGTACCATTACTGTGTAAGAAAGGCATATGTCCACTCAGCATGGCTGGTTTATGCTATGTTGCAGCATTGGCTGTTGTGGGCAGTCAGCCCTTTAGGAATGTTGCTCACCCTCTCCAGTGAAAACTGATGTGCTGCTGCATTCTCCATATTGACAGTAGGATTGCCTTCAAGCCTTCGCAGTCTTGAGATGTTTGTCAGCAAGTGGCAGTTGTGATGCCACAGTATCCCAAGTTTTCTGTCACGTCTCTGAGCTTCCAGTTAATTGGTTAGAATCCTTAAGGGAAGTGCAATCCTTAAGGGAAGTGCCTGAGGTTCACACATTCTTTCCATGTTCCTCACAAGATGCTGTGGCCTGAGACCGCTTGAGTCTATCTCTAGATACTGCACTATCTAAACACTTTCTGGTGGCACTGCTTACTGGTCTCTCTTTTGTAGCTAGAGTTTTCCTGCCTTGTCCACAGTCAGGACAAATCTTTGTCACCCGCCAGTCCCACAGCCGCTCAGACCCGACCAAGTAAACACAGAGACTTATATTGCTTACAAACTGTATGGCCGTGCCAGGCTTCTTGCTAACTGTTCTTATATCTTAAATTAATCCATTTTTATATATCTATACCTTGCCACATGGTGTCTTCACATGGTGCTTGTCATGGCAGGCGGCTGGCAGTGTCTCTTTCTGCCTTCCTGTTCTTTCTTTTCTCCTCTCTGTTAGTCCCGCCTATACTTCCTGCCTAGCCACTGACCAATCAGTGTTTTATTTATTGACCAATCAGAGTAATTTGACATACAGACCATACCACAGCACTATTTTCTCTTAGTTGGGTGAAAGTGCCCGTCTTCCTTCCTTGTGCCAGTTCCTTGGCTCTGCTGTTAGATGCTGTGCCTTTTCTACTCAAGGACACGGGTCACTCAATTTTCTCTCCTTTAGGAATTACTTGTCCTCATTGCTTAATTTTTTTAGCATATTTTTTTCTAATATTGTTAGAAAGAGGGCATTTTTATTGTAATGAGCCTGTTATTTATTTATTTATTTATTTATTTATTTATTTATTTATTTATTTATTTATTTATTTATTTACACAAGATCTCACTTTTTACTATGTAGCCCTGGCTAGCCTGGAACTCACTTTGTAGACCTGCCTGTGTCTGTCCCTGCCCCTCCCATGCTGGGGTCAAAGGTGTGTGCCACAATTCTTGGTTTATTTTTAATTTTTTTAAGAATGATTCTTTATTGTATTGTTTGTGTGTGGGTGTTCTGCATGCACGTATGTCTGAGTTCTGTGTGCATAGCCGGTGCGGAAGATGGCATTTGAATTCCTTGGAACTGGAGTTGTAACTGGAAGGTTATAAACTGCCCTGTAGATACTGGGAATAGAATCTGGGTCTTCTGGAAGAGCAGCCAGTGCTCTTAAACTGCCAAGTGGATATACAGATGTACAGGATTCAGTTTTTTTTTTTTTTGTTTGTTTGTTTTTTGAGACAGGTTTTCATGTTGCTTAGGCTGGCCTTAAACTCACTGTATATCTGAGGATGTCTGATCATATTCTCAATGTGGTAGAGGGTTTCTATGAGGGACAGTCTTTAGTTGGAAAATAAAGGAATAACAAAAAGCCCAAGGTTTGGTAGCAGTGGCAGTGCTGAGAAGTGGACTTTTTTTTTGAGACAGGATGTGGTGGCTTGAATGAGAATGGCCCCTTAGGCTCACATATCTGAATCCTCTGTCGGTGGAATGTTTAGGGAGGATTAGGAGGTGTGGCCATCTTGGAGGTGTGTCACTGAGGGTGGGCCTTGAGGTCTCAAAAGCCCATGCCAGCCTAGTCTTCTGTGTCCCCAATTTTGGGGTCAGGATATAAGCTCTCAGCTAATGTTTTAGTGCCATGCCCATCTGTTTCCCACTGTGATGTTCATGGACTAATCCTCTGAAACTGTTTCCTGTAAGTTGCCTTGGTCATGGTGTTGTAACTGGAGTTTTTTCCAGTCCCGCTCGGGCCCACAGCCACTCAGACCCAGGTAAACACACAGAGACTTATATTACTTACAAACTGTATGGCCGTGGCAGGCTTTTTGCTATCTAGTTCTTATGTCTTAAATTAACCCATTTCTATTAATCTATAAATTGCCATGTGGCTTGTGGCTTACCAGTACTTTACAACTTGCTTCTCATGGTGGCAGCGGCTGGCAGCGTCTCCTGACTCAGCCTTTCTTTTCCCAGAATTCTCCTCTCTCTTTGTCCCACCTATACTTCCTGCCTGGCTACTGCCAATCAGCACTTTATTTATTAACCCATCAGAGCAACACATTCACAGCCTGCAGAGCAATATCTACAGCATGGTGTCTCTTCATAACAGTAGAACAGTAACTAAGACTTAGGGTCTCTGTATAGCTCTGGCTGGTCTGGAACTTGCTATGTAGACCGAGCTGGCCTCGACCTCACAGAGATCCATTTGCCTCTGCCCCCTTAGTGTTGGTATTAGAGGCGTATACCACCACACAGAGCCAAACATCTGTGATGTGATTTGTGGTAGGTCTAGTAGGACTTTTGTTGTGGAATGTGAAAGCCGGCTGCAGATTTTATTTTAGGTTAGTGTGAGGATTGAGAGAAACAGGAATTAGAGTGACTGCCTTCTTGAGCAGTAGGCTATGCATGCTGTCTGCTGGATGGAGACCAGAGGGCAAAGGAAGAGTCAAGTTTGGTTTTGACGAGGCTACGTTGGAACAATTGTTTAATATCAAAGTTAAAATATGAAGTAGATGGTCGAGGTCTTGCGTCTGGTGGAAAAGTCCTAACTGTGGACTTACGATCACAGGAATGGGCATATATGTGATGTATACTCTGGTATTTGAGTTTTGTTAAAAGCTTTGTAGATTTTGTAGCAATATTATGTTAATAAAATTTCACCCTTAAATATTGTGAAAATGAAAATCACCATTTAAAAGCTGTCCTTGTGAGTCTTAAGCTCTGTCGTAAGTGCTGAATTTGCATGATGTCATTTACTCTATAGGATGGCTTTAAGAAGACTGTACCCTTTTTTTACTTGTAGAAAAGATGACCTAAGTATCTTGACTTAGGTCAGAGCCCGGCTAAATTAGCAGGAAAGAACTTGAATGCTCTTTTTCTATTGTGTGCCTTTTAATGATTAATAATATTTACATCCTGTCTACTGAAAATAATAACTAGCATTTACATAATGCTAAGCTAATGACTGTGCTAGTATCTTATTTCTGGGATTCTAAGATCACAGCCCATTTTCCATTTATTTATTTATTTATTTGTGTGTGTGTTTGTGTGTATGTGTTGGGGGGGT